GGCTGAGTTTGAGTTTCCATTCCAGGGCCAGGCCACGAGATCCACGAGGCTCCCTGGGCTCCTTCCAGCAACATCTGCACAGGAAAAACACTGCAGGGATTGCAGATGACATCAGGCAAAGTCCAGCCCTGAGAATTCCCTGCAGGAATTCGGTGCTCTGACCTTTGGAAAGGCTCAGGGAGGACCAAAAAAAAAAAAAACCCCAACCAGTTCCTGCAAACACCGATTTACCCAGCAGGGAAAGGAGAAACCACAGAGAAACGTCAGCTCCTGCTGAGATCCGTGCTTGGAGCCCGGCTCGTGTCACGATTACAGGCTCGGGAGAGGCAAAAAAGACAAATTTGGGGTTGGAATCACGAGGTTGGGATATCGGCTGCAGCCCTGCAGTTGCTCTGGGAAGGATCAGGGTGGCTCTGCAGTGCCCACCCCTGCTCCAAGTCACCGTTCCCAGCAGGTTTCTGCCAGCTGGAATTCCCATTTGGATCCTGAACTGTCCCCAGGAGCCACCAGGGACAGGAGCAAACAGCAGCTGGGGCTTTGGTGGGTGACAAAGGGTTAAACTTGCCAGAGGGCTGGGACTGGGGGGATTTTTGGGAAGGAATTCCCAGAGAAGCTGTGGCTGATCCATCCCTGGAAATGTCCCAGGCCAGGCTGGACAGGGCTGGGAGCAGCCTGGGACAGTGAGAGATGGCAGGAGGGTGTAGGGGGAGGAAAAGTGGTCTAAAGTTTGATTCTGAGGGGGTTTTTTTCCCCTTATAGTTTCTAGCAATAAAGTTTCTCTTTGCACCATTTAAAGTTGAGCCTGTTTTGCCTTTTTCCTAATCCTGTCTCACAGCAGGAAAATTCCAAATGGCTGAACCAAAGGCACTGCACGGGGGTGGCACTGGAGGGGCTCCGAGGTCTCTTCCCAACCCAAACCACTCCAGCATCCCAGGATCCCATAAAACCCCGCTTGCCAAAACCCCAAATTCAGACCAAGCACAGCAAGGACGGGTCTGAACAAGGCTCAGCCCAAACCAGACCCAGAAAATGTCCCACTGAGCCACTCCAAGTGTCCCCAGCCTGCCTTGGGGACACCCCGTGTCACCCTGGTGCTGCTTTGGGGTGGCTCTGTGGGACATTTTCATATTGAGAAAGTAAGAAAATTACAGCCTGAAAAATATTCCAGGCTGGAACTTCTCAGCTCTGCTCCCAGCCCATGAGCTGCTCCAGCTCAAGGCTAAGGGAGAATTTCTCCCAGGGTGATAATTTGGTCAAAATTAAAAGGAATTAATAACAAAATCAAACATGTGTTGTGGTGTGTGCCCAGGCCCTGGCCATGGGGTGTCTTCTCTCTGACCCAATCCCCTTTTCTCTGCTCTGGCAGTTGCAGTCCTGCTATAAAATGAATAAACTTGGCTCTTTCTATCGTGACAGACGACCGTGTGGCTGTGCATCTTAAAGGGTTAAAATCCCTTTCCACGGCTGCCTTTGGAGGTTCCACCGAGATGGCTCAGAGGGCCAGGAGGGGGCTGGGAGGTGTCCCCAGGAGATCGGGGTTTCTGTGTTACTGGGTCCCCTCCCCTGCCACCAGCTCTCAATAAATCCTTCACTCAAATCTCATTAAAATCTCCTGGAGGAGAGCAGGGACAGCGCCACATCCTTCATTCACCCCTCCCAAAAATCAGCGAATTCCTGGCTGGTGCCATCCCCGGTGAGCACAGGAGCGTCCCCAACGCTGTCACCTCCCTGCTGTCACCTCCTGTCACCCCTGGAGCCCTTCCAGCCTCCCTGCCCTGCACTCCCACCGACCCCAACCCAAGCCACGACAAGTTTCTCCCTTTTTTTTTTAAACTCGCTGACAAAAATGTGAGTCCTGCCTCAGGTCCCAGCTTGTTCCAGGACTAAAAACCCCAGGAAATGCAACCTTGGAGTGGCTTGGAATTGGAGATCAGGCCACGGCTTGACCGTGACTGTGGCACCAAGAGCAGCACCTCAGCACCCAAAAACACAACAAAAATGGGGAAATAATTAAAAAAAAAAAAAGCAGGAATATGGATAGAGGAACTGCTCCAGCTGCTGCAGGGGAGGAAACTCGTGCCAGGTACCTCTGCAGGACGTGACACCAGCTGCAGTTGAAGGTCAGCTCCGAGCTCACACACATCTCACAGCTCTGGTGCTGCAGGCAGGCTGGAAAAGAGAGAGGAGAGAGGCTCCAGCCAGATGTCAACATCTGCAGGGCACAGCCCTGAGTGTCCAACCCGAGCTCCCCGCATGGGGAATGAGGGGAGCAGCTCCTTCCCAGCTCTTTCCACTCTGTTGAAAACACAGCTGGGAATTAAAAAATCGAATTTTTGCCATTTCTCGTTGTTCCTCGAGGGGGGAAGGAGCTGAACCCCACCCCAAGGGCTCCTGCAGGAACTCTCTGCTCACAGAGCACCAAATTTGGTCAAGAAAAGGTGGCCAGGAAGGGCTTGGATGCCAAAAAATTCAAGGAGAGGAGGAGTTTTCACCAGGCCTTGAATGGCAGAGCCCAGAGTGGGTCTGGTCCCCATTTCTGGGGGTGGAGGTGGAATCACAGGACCCCGTCCTGCTCGAGGGCAGCAGTGTCCCCATCCCAGCTGGGACACCTGGAACAGCTGTCCCCAATCCAGATGTTCCCTCCTGGGCTCCCTGCTGTGCCCCTGGCACCTGGGCAAGCTCCCCCACACCTGGGCTACCTGCCCACACCCTCCAGTGGCCTCCTCTCCTCATCTCCTCTCCCATCCTGGGATCTTCCCAAGGCAGGGAACAACCTCAGGCCTCTGCAGGGCCTCAGTTCCTCCCTTCTGACCC